TAAAACTTTTAACCCCTGCTTCCCACAGGCCACCCATGTGAGGGGCCGCTGCGGGTATAAAATGCCACGTTAGAGCTTGGTGGCAGTATTTAGAAAGGGCTTGATTGCGCGAGTCGGCCACGAAGGTTTTAAATTCGGATCGCAAAGACCGAGAGGCTCCGACAAAGTTAGTTCCATTGTCGGAGTAAATATTCTTTGGGCACCCTCGTCTAGCAATAAATCTGGCAAATGCTGCTAGGAAAGAAGCAGTACTAAGGTCACTAGTGGCTTCCAGGTGGATGGCCTTAGTCGAAAAACAGACGAAGAGACAAACGTAGCCTTTGGACAGACGACATCCTCGACCACGGTAGGTTTTAATGTCAAAAGGCCCCGCGAAATCTACACCGGTGTTTGTGAACGCACGTGAAAATGTAGTGCGTTCAGTTGGAAGATTCCCCATAAGCTGGGTTTGGGACCGTTTCCTGTGGATCGTGCAGATTTTACAATTGTGGATGATGGACCGTATCATATTTTTTACTCGCGGGATCCAGTATTGCGTACGTATAAGACGTAGCATCAGTTGGTTTTCCCCGTGTAAGGAGATTTTATGGACGAACTGGACAATAAGCCGAGTTAACCTGCAATCATATGGGAGAATAATTGGATGGCGCTCACTGTAGGCCAAGTCAAGGGATGCGCCAAGACGACCACCAGTCCTCATAACATCATCCTTGTCGATGAATGGATTAAAGGGGCAAAATTTCGCTTCGATGGATTTACCTGATTTCAATTGTTCATATTCTTCTCTATAGTGTCGTTGTTGATAAATGGTTATTAGGCGTTGTGTCGTTGTTTTAATTTCGGCCGACGAAATTAATGAAGACTCCGCTCTAAAGGAAGATTTTGTACTGGGGTGAGTTCTTTGATAGAATCTCATAATATATGAGATGACCCTCAAAGCTCTTGAGAAATCTGAAAATCTGTCGAGAATTTGAAAGTTATTTGTGCTAGTTGTTGCGTGAACTTGCACCCTTTTTTCCTCTATGATTGTGTCGTAGTTCGCTTCTTGTGCTGGCCATTTTGACTTGTCTTCTTGTAACCAAGAAGGACCCTGCCACCACAAGGAGTTGTTGACTAGTTCACTAGCCGAGAGTCCTCTACTGGCCAGATCTGCTGGGTTTGATGCCGAATCCACATGACGCCAGTTGTCGGTTCCCACCTTGTCTACAATTTTTGTTATTCGGTGAGCAACGAAAGTTGACCACGAANGTCCACATTAGGCCAGTTTTCGGTTCCCACCTTGTCTACAATTTTTGTTATTCGGTAAGCAACGAAAGTTGACCACGAACACGGTGGTTTCCGGATCCATGCTAGGACTATTGTCGAATCTGTCCAGATATTTATTTTCATATGTCCAAGACTCAGATTTTCGACGACTGCTTCTAAGGTTTCCGAAAGCAAAACTGCGCCGCAGAGTTCTAAACGGGGTAACGATACTGTTTTGACGGGCGCTACCTTCGTTTTTGCCATTAGAAGGCTGACAAAAACTCTTTCCGCAGTCTNCCCTTTGTTTTTGCCATTAGAAGGCTGACCACAACTCTTTCCGCAGACTTAAC